TTGCCCTACTAAAAGTAGGAACTTACCCTATCTGGAAAAGATGGTGGATAATCAGCTGGAGCCTGAATTCGTGGAACAAGCAAATAAATTCTGTCATCATATCTATGAAACATCTCAAGAAAAGACTCTTCCAGGAGGGCACATTGCCACTGGCAACTGTGAGTCCTTCTAGCTCTATTATAATTATGCTTGGTTGTATACTGAGCTAGATGAGCCACTTCCATAGATGATTGGCAAGCAGGTTGTGACGAAATGCCTTAAATTCTTGTGTCTGCTCCACAATGAGCAATGATATCTGAAGATGTCTGGCTGATTGTCTAACAATCTGTATTATTTTTCTGTATGCAGTGTTGGCAAAGTTGGTTGAGACCTATGTGGCTACTATCTCTAGTGGGAACATTCCCTGCCTGGAGAACTCAGTCTTGTCCTTGGCGGAGATTGAGAACAGGGCAGCCATGCAGGAAGTTGTTACTCACTATGCACAACTGATGGAGCAAAGCTTGGAGCTACCCACTGAGACTCTCCAGGAACTTCTGGACATACACAAATTATGTGAGGAACAAGCCCTCCAGATGTTCATGGCTCGTGCCTTTAAGGATGATAAACGTCAGTTCCAGCTTGAACTCATGGTAGGTAATCTTGTATGATACTAGCCTACATAGGCAATATTGAAAACTCGTGGGTCCTCTGTTCTGGTACCTTATACTCCAGTATTTTCTGAATTTATAAGAATACAGAAAATAGGGAATTGAAGGAAGTGGCAAATGGTTTTAATTAAACAAAAGAATTTTTCTCATTTTCTTGCTACCTGGAAAATGCTTCCGGACATTTTTTTTGCTCAAAATAGAAAAAAATAATGAAACTTTCCTTCTAAATTTTGATGATGAATGAAGTTGTTATACAAATGGCTTGAAATTTCTAGAAATCTGAATCTATATATATATTCAGTNGAAGTTTGGCAAATAAATAAAAATACTGAAACTATCATTTCAAATAAATCGTTTTTAGGGACCAATCAAGTCATATGCTTCTCCCTACTTGACTATATCTGGCTTTATGGTAGAGGCAGAACTAGGCTTTTCACAGATGTTTTCTTTTGATGTCAGCCTTATCAGGTAGACCAGAGTAAGAATCAGACACTACTTTTATTAGCGTTTATTAGCTAGCATTACAACATCTTGACAATCTGATTGTGCTTCCATTCCTCCCTCTTTTTTCTTCTCAAGAATTGAGTTGGGAGCTATCCAAGGTATTTAGCTGTCTCCTTTACTGGCCTGATCTAAGTTTCATTTATTTGATGGTTCTTCTCTCCATCCCTCAAGACCATCCTCTTTAATCACTGTACAAGTATATTGTTTGATTCCTAAACTGGGTCAACAGTTTTGTGACAGAGCTGTCTAAACATATCAAGGCCAAGTCTTCCTCCGCTACTGGAGATACAGATGAGACTTCTGGATTTGTTGGCTTCTCCCCAAACTTTGTTTGGTCTGTGCGAGATTTCACACTGCAGCTGCAACAGGATGGGAAATCCATCACAGAGGATGAATATCTCGAACATGCTCTGGAATTAAAAGAAGGTACTGATGACAAATTCAGTGTGAAGATCTATGTGGTCATTTGAATAAGGAATAAGAGCCACCGGGACTAAACTGTTTAGGGAGGATAGACCTCAAGAAGAAAAAGAATCACCAAAGGTCTTTGGTCTAGAATGAAGGCACCAGACTAGAAATCAGGAAATTGTAGGTTGCATTAATGCCTCAGGTATGAAAGTCATCTGGGTGCTTTGGACTAATTACTAGACATCCTAATAATAGAAAGCAATTATATTAAGAATTCTCTGTTGGAATGACTGAGAATGCCATTCTACCTGATTGTAAAAGGGCATTGTAAAATAAGACTCCATCCAATCCATTTCAATGTCAGTAGTCATGACACTGAAATAAAAACTGAATTTTCTTCCTCAGTGTTCCCTGACCACATTATTTGTTGGAAAACAAGCAATGGTATTATTTCTTCAGTGCTCTGTTTTCTCGATTAATTTAAATCAGGGTTGGAATTTCAGAAGACACCGCATGGAATTTCAGATTGCAGCTTGCATATACTTTGTTGGCTGAGTTGACACTTTGAAAGACTAAATCACTCTTAATTTGTACATTGTTTTCCACACAGTCCTTCTGGGTGAATCACAGTGCAGTGTGTTAAATAGAGATTATCTAAAATCCCTGATTTGGAAACAAGAAAAACTCACATGATAGATTTGTGGCCTCTATAAGAGAGGAAGGGTGGCCAAAGTAAGAGGAGATACTTGTATTTGGAGGGATAACAATTAAATAGTGCCAATTAATATGGATGGGGATTTTCCCCAGTGAAATGCCCACTGGCAGATGCAATTCAGATTTCCTTGTAAGATGGACATGTTGCTTTCTAGGTGACAGCAAGAAGGAGCAGGAATTCAATCTGACACGGAAATGCATCCGACTGTTCTTCCCCACCCGGAAGTGCTTCGTCTTTGATTGCCCTACTGAAAGTAGGAACTTACCCTATCTGGAAAAGATGGTGGATAATCAGCTGGAGCCTGAATTCGTGGAACAAGCAAATAAATTCTGTCATCATATCTATGAAACATCTCAAGAAAAGACTCTTCCAGGAGGGCACATTGCCACTGGCAACTGTGAGTCCTTCTAGCTCTATTATAATTATGCTTGGTTGTATACTGAGCTAGATGAGCCACTTCCATAGATGATTGGCAAGCAGGTTGTGACGAAATGCCTTAAATTCTTGTGTCTGCTCCACAATGAGCAATGATAGCTGAAGATGTCTGGCTGACTGTCCAACAATCTGTATTATTTTTCTGTATGCAGCGTTGGCAAAGTTGGTTGAGACCTATGTGGCTACTATCTCTAGTGGGAACATTCCCTGCCTGGAGAACTCAGTCTTGTCCTTGGCGGAGATTGAGAACAAGGCAGCCGTGCAGGAAGCTGTTGCTCACTATGCACAACTGATGGAGCAAAGCTTGGAGCTACCCACTGAGACTCTCCAGGAACTTCTGGACATACACAAATTATGTGAGGAACAAGCCCTCCAGATGTTCATGGCTCGTGCCTTTAAGGATGATAAACGTCAGTTCCAGCTTGAACTCATGGTAGGTAATCTTGTATGATACTAGCCTACATAGGCAATATTGAAAACTCGTGGGTCCTCTGTTCTGGTACCTTATACTCCAGTATTTTCTGAATTTATAAGAATACAGAAAATAGGGAATTGAAGGAAGTGGCAAATGGTTTTAATTAAACAAAAGAATTTTTCTCATTTTCTTGCTACCTGGAAAATGCTTCCGGACATTTTTTTTGCTCAAAATAGAAAAAAATAATGAAACTTTCCTTCTAAATTTTGATGATGAATGAAGTTGTTATACAAATGGCTTGAAATTTCTAGAAATCTGAATCTATATATATATTCAGTGCAGTACAATTCTATCTGTAGCTATATCTCTATCTCTATCTATCTATCTATCTATCTATCT